AGAAAAGAAATGGAAATATAAAAAAACCTTATAAACCTTTACAAACCTTATATAAATTTCTCTGTTTTTCTCATTCTTTCCCTACCTTTCCCTTCAAACCAAACACAGCTTAAAGGGTTATAATAGCATTTGTATCAGCTCCCATAAATTTGCAATGCAGTGTTTCCACATACTAACATTTGCCATTAAATTGCATCCAGATCAAATGGTTAAATCATTTGATAGATTATGTCAACTTTTTATGAAGACAATGTTTTAATGAGGGCCCACCATCGAATAACTATTGATCCTTAACAGATGACAAGTGGCAAGAGTTAAGGGACTATGTCCATTTTTCTCGGGCAGGGGGTATATAAAAAAAAAAAAAAAGGAGGAGGACGAGCATCATGGAGTACCGGTATATCCAATTGGTTGAATGCATGGTTGGAACTTGGAACTTGGAAGAGACCCAAGCTGAGCTGTTAGGGGATTTCGGGTTAAAAACGGCGATTTTGCTCATAGAGACGTAAAACCGAATTAAGGATGTTGGTGGTTGGTGGATGATATGTTTAAGTGGGAAAGTAACGGATTTGGATCATCTCAATTAATAAGGTTTCGTATTGGGCCGGGTTTGGGTATCAAAATAGTGGCACTGTTCAAGAAGTGGCGGCCGGGTTGGGTTTGGTTTCCCAATTCCAACTATTCCAACTATTCCAACTAGTTGATTTGGATTGGGTTCGAATGGGTTACCCACTGGTGTGTTCATTCTTGATAGGTTGTCCTGCCCGAAGTGTATAATTTTGTCTCTAGTTAATCTGGTCTAGTTGTTTGAAGATCACCTTATTTTGTGCTTATGTTCTTGTTTCTCAGACGCAACAATAATCGTGAACAGTTAGCCGCCTTTAATTTTGAGTATGCCTTATTATTGTTTGAACTCCATTGAGTAATTCTTATGAAAGAAGACGAGGAAGAGGTAGAGGAAAAAACAAGAAAAAAGAAGCAATTATTCGCATATGTAGGAGATGATAAGTGTGTAGTGCTTGTTTACTGATTTTAAATGTGTTAGGATTATTAAAAGCAAGGTTCAAAATATGGATACGCCCGATAGGCCGGTAGGGGTGTATCAGGCCATATCAATACTTATTTTTTTTAAATCGGTTCAAGGGGGCTGGTTTAAGGCTCCTTCGCCCCTTGAACCGGTTAGAACCCCGATACACCCCCTGTAGAGGTGTATCATGGAGCTCCCAAAATGATAGTATCGATTCATATCGGCCGATACATGTCAATACTTTGAAGCTTGCATCTATCCCTTTCCCACCTGAAAGATACGATAGGTGCAATATTTATGACCAATCAACCGGTATCATATATAGATATTTAAAAAAAGAAAACGATATCATATGTGTATTAAGTATTAACCAACCAGATGTAATTTATCAAAATTCTCTTGTGGGTTTTGATTGGTTAAAATTCTTTTTTTGTATCATATATTTCCCCCATTGTAGCTCAATCCACTATATTCTCTCTCTCTCTCAATCAATCAACCATGGACGCCACATATTTCAAGCAGCTGCACCATATTTGAACTTTATTGGAAGGGTGGGAAGGGGAACCACTCCTCATCCCCATTCCCGTGAAAATCCCTATCTTCATCCACACCTCTATCCCTTCTAGCGGAGACTAAGGTTATCCTCATCCCTGTCCCTAAGGCTCAAGTTTAAAAAGAGTACAAATACGAATATGTACAGTATATATAAATAAAATAATACAAAATATAAGATTTTGCACTCTACATGTTGGTATTTGTATTCCTTCCAAATTAAGCCTAAAGATCCCTTCTCTCTGGGATTTTTTTTATAATGCCAATCATTTCGTTTTAAGTTATTTTATTTTATTTTAAAAATTAAAAAGATAATTAAAATTTACAATTCTAATAAAAAAAATCCAAAATTTTTCAAACATATTCCATGGTATTTCTAAAAATATTAATGCATACGTACATATATATAAATATGCATATGTACATACATATATAAGCAAAGCAGAGATATCTACAGGATGGGAATTGGGGGCATGGGGATGAAAATTTCCCCTTCCCCATTCCGATGGGGAAAATCATCCCATGACCCATGCCCGCCCCGAAGTGGCGAAGTTCTCACAATGATCGGGGAAATGGGAAGATATTGCCATCGCTAAACTCTATTTGAGAAGGTTGGAGAGTCAAAATAGGAAGCTGAACCCAGCGGTAAAACAGCAGAGAGGATTGATGCTGTGGTTCCCACAACGTCGGTGAAGACTAATAGACTATTGATCTCGCCGAAGGATCAGCGTTGAAATCCACAAGGATCCGGCCGGCGGGTTGCAGGGATGATGTTTTTGTTAGCAATGGCCACCAATTTTTCTGAAGTTTCTTACTGTTTTATTTCACGTGCCTCAGGCCTTGTGTCAAATATATACTATTGCTACGTTGTAAACAGCTAGTCGAGACTGTTTTCCCCCCAAACAGTCGAACAGTCAAAAGTTTTCCCTGATCTACAGGAGAGTCAGGGAGTGCTTTACATTCAGTTTCCTAATAAAAAGGAAACTGAATTGGTAGTGGGTACATTTAAATAGGCGGTTGGGAGAAATACGAAGAGGAGAGAGAGAGAGAGAACAAGCTCAGGTAGAAAATTGTAGTAGTATAGTCTTTGATCTTTGTAGGGGAAAGATCGGCACTTCTGGGCAAAATTTGTCCCACTTCTCATCCATAATCGTAAATGACAAAAGAGCTCACCAGTTCTTTTGGTTCTCTGGCGTCGCCACTTGTGTTTCTTGATAGTCGCTCGTCACCCTCGCCGGAATCCGGCGGAAACAGGGAGAAACTCACCTTGTCAGTTGCCAAGCCTTGTAAAAAGGGTAGGCCATCCTGTCCATACTAGTATTCTGTAATCGTTTATTCTTCAATTTTCCTTTTTGCTTTCACTTTCTGATTTTGCCTTCTTTTTGGGTTTTACACCATGCATGTTGGTGTGTAACTGTGTACTAGTAGACCATGTTTTAAAAATAATTAAGTTTGGGACAGTGGTGAGATGGGAATCGATGAGGTGGGGTTGGTGATGGCAACCCTTCACTCCATCCATGGGATCTCATCACATCCACAGGTTTAATCCAATCCACTAATCTTGATAATTTGATTAAAACTCCGACGATCTTAGGCTTCAACTTATGCAACTCATACAATAACTAAGCTTTTAATTTGTTTTCAACTTTGGGCTGTGGGAAACAAAACTAATCCAAAAAAGTGTTTTGAGGGTGTGGTAAAAATTGCTTTTAGAAACATAAAAATCTAAAGCTAAAACACTTTTAAGCCTCAAAGCACAATGCCTGAAATTGGGGCCTTGTGCTTTTGGACTTTAAAAGAAACATATTCTGAAGCTTAATTATCCAAACACAATAACCTTAAATCTATCAACAGTCTAAATATGGGGCATACATACAGTTTGATCCTAGTATCTCCAATATTTATACTTTAATTTGGTGTCCTGATAATTCACTGATCCCCTTCGAGAAAATATAGAATAATATTGTGTGAAATTATAATTGAACACAGTGGTTTAAGAGACAGGCCATGTGTGCAGCTGGGCTTGTTGACAGTGCAATAACTTAGATAAAGTATATGAATTTTGATTATTTGATTAATTTATTGTAATTAGGATGTTCTTAGGGAAATTAGTACAATTTATCAATCTAAGATATGAAGAAAATATAATTTTTTACCTGCAATTTTATCAAGTAATGCTATAGTTTTGCTCATCAAAAAAAATAAAAAAAAGAAAGAAAACCATTCAAATAGTTGTAGTTAAATCATGAATGATCAAATAAAAGAAAACACTTCTTCACCTTATAATAAATAACATATTTGTTTGGGGCCATAGTGATAATTTTACATGAACAAAAAAATAGGTCTTCCAAATATGACAGTAAATTAAATATTTAGCAAAAAAAATGTGGCAGTAAAATATAAAACAAAATATGACAAGATAGCAAATGACTTCTGAAAATTGGTACCAATATCCTTGAGAAAAGGATTTCATCTTGGAAAAACTTTCTTTTCAAAGAAAAAGGAAAGAAACTGAAAAAGACTAAATAGCAAAAGTTATTTGGATATATTCTGAGGTCACTGTTTTCCTATGCTCTTTGTGCATGGTGACGCGATTAATTATAAGAATTACAGACAAATATAGAGCAGAACCAGTGGAAACAGAAAGTTTCCAGAAACATATGAGTTAAAAAGGGCGAAAACAAATCAACGATAAGATTTTGTCTTTGATGGAAGCATTTGAACAGAAAACCTCCACTGGCTCAAGAGAAAGAATCAACAGAAGAAGCGACCCAGTTAGTGGCGGATATTCTTCCAGACTACATTCTCCTTCTCGAGCGTCCACCACTACTATTTCCTTTATTTCTCCCTGCAAAGTTTGCTTTTATTGCAAACGAAAATTAAATTCCTGAAAACGACATTCATCGTCCCTTTATTTCCCTATATATTTACCTCTCTTACACCCTTCTCTCCTCACTTCTCTTCATCTCTCTCTATCTTCCTCTCTCAGTGTAAGTTTTCTTCCCTTGGTTGAGTTGTTCTTACTTCTTCATTCCCTTTAATATTCTTCTATCTATATCATCATTTCTTTTCACCATTTTTAAGTAGAAATCTACCAATATCTGTCTGGTTTCTCAATTTTAATGCTCCACTCATATATAAACACTTCGACGCATCTGAAATCTGCTTTCAGATACTAGTCTTCTCGTCCTTTTTTGACTTTGTTTTTTTTTTTCTTTTTTGCCACCTCTACGTCCATGACCAACTCAGTACGTTAAGTTAGAACAGAGGAAGAGAATCATTTGCAACATCTTCTTTTACGTACCCTTGAGCCTTCAAAGTTTTTGCGCCTGCTGCTTTCGCCCCTGCATGAAGGGCTGTATTTAGTGTTTCAGTCCATCTAACAGAGATTTTCTCTTGTATTTTCGTAGAAGAAGTGAAAATGGCAGCTCTGGAGATCAGCAACAAAGATATCTCGCTCAAGGTTGGGACTTTGGAGTTTGACTATGTTTTTGGTCCAGCTGAGCCGTATGAGAGTGGTCTGGCTGAGATTTCAGTGACTGCCACCTAAGCAAGGGCAATCTTGTGCCTACGTGGCAACTGGCAAAGCTAAGAATCTGTGGGTGGACCAACCCTTGTATGGCGCAGCTAGATTATTGCCCACTAAAGCGATGCATCTGGGCTTTCCCGTCCATGACATTCAAATTAATCTATTCCTTGAGAATTAATTTCTGCTTCCCTTTTGATTTTTGACCATTATTAGATATTTTTATGCATTGAAGAAACAGGTGATAGAAGAAAATGGCTTTGGAGAATCAGCAGTGAACACAGACTTAACTCAGAACGAACAGAAGAAGGGCCCCGTCGATGAAAATGGAAGCCTTGTAATCAAAAGCAATTCTGGAGGGTGGAAGCCTGCATTTCTGTTACTGGGTAATCACTAATCAGGCCGGAGTTTTATGTTTTTATATATACAGAAAATTTATGGGTTACGTTGTTTTCAAGTTAATAATCCTTTAGATTAAACAATTAATATTCTACAATTCTCTCGAATGGGTGCATGCATGCAGCAAACCAAGGTCTGGCAACGCTTGCTTTCTTTGGCGTGGGTGTAAACTTAGTTTTGTTCTTGACAAGGGTTCTTCAGCAAGACAATGCCAATGCCGCGAACAATGTTAGCAAGTGGACTGGAACTGTTTACATGTGTTCCTTGATCGGCGCGTTCCTCAGTGATTCATACTGGGGCAGATACTTAACCTGTGCAATCTTTCAGTTGATATTTGTGCTGGTATATTTATCTTCTCTATTTCTAGCTTTTTACTACTAGCTAGTACTCGAAATAATCTCCTGGTGCATGTAATTCATTGATTAATCGGATTTAATTTGTTAACACCCAAATCGTAAGAACCATTTGAATGGGACAGATTGGTTGCATATAAGAAAAGGAACAATCATATCAGAAAGGACGACTGGTGTTAGCTAGACCATATATATATATTCATAAATTTTCCATTACTTGTTTAACAGGGACTGGTACTGCTATCACTATCGTCTTGGCTGTTCCTGATCAAACCAGATGGTTGTGGAGATGGAGTAATTGATTGCAGGCCAGCATCTTCGGCTGGCGTCGCCATCTTCTATTTATCAATTTACCTGGTTGCCTTTGGATACGGCGGTCACCAACCCACGATAGCCACTCTGGGATCCGACCAGATCGACGAGCACGCAAAAGCAGCCTTCTTTTGCTATTTTTATTTCGCTTTGAACGTGGGTTCTTTGTTCTCCAACACCATCTTAGTCTACTTCGAGGACTCAGGCAAATGGACGCTGGGGTTCTTAGCGTCCGCAGGCTCTGCAGTTCTAGCCCTTATCCTCTTCTTGATTGGAACACCCAAGTATAGGTTTTTTAAGCCATGTGGCAACCCATTGCCACGTGTTGCCCAGGTATTTGTTGCAACTTTCAGGAAATGGGATGTAACTGTCCCTGCAGATTCTGAGAAATTGTATGAGTTGGAAGGTTCAGAATCTGCAATTAAAGGGAGCAGAAAGATCATGCACAGTAATGAATTCGGGTAAGTAATATCTTAAAGACCAAACTCCAAAGATTAATGGTTGATGAACACAAATGTATAACTTATTCCACAGTTGATTTAATATTTTAACCAACCCCAAGCTTGATTGAACTGGCCGGTTTGGTTCTCTGGGTGGTTTGATGACTTGATGTCCATGAGTCCATGACCATGTGGTTAAGACTTAAAATCCGAGCTAGCTTGTCACTATCTTGCCACACCAACATGGTTCACCTAATTGGTATGGCTTGTGGCCCATTTAATTTGTGTTTTCGTACTACAACCACCTAGGTCAATTGGTGAGTGATTTTATTATATATGAATTGATTATTCTTTTGTCTATATCCTTTGAATCTGTTCAGGTTCTTGGACAAGGCAGCAACCAAGACCCAGAATGATTTGCATGGAACTAACGACCCATGGAGGCTCTGCACAGTGACTCAGGTAGAAGAGGCCAAATGCGTCCTTAAGATGCTGCCTATATGGCTCTGCACCATCATATATTCCGTCGTCTTCACCCAGATGGCTTCGCTCTTTGTTGAGCAAGGAGTCGTTATGAATTCCAGCACCGGCGACTTCCGGCTTCCCGCAGCAAGCATGTCTGCTTTCGACATCTGCAGCGTTCTAGTTTTCACCGGCATATACCGTCAAATCCTCGTGCCCGTCGCTGGCAGACTAACAGGCAATCCCAAAGGTCTGTCTGAGCTCCAACGAATGGGTGTAGGACTCATAATCGGAATGCTAGCCATGGTGGCTGCTGGAATCACCGAGATCGAAAGACTTAGAAGGGTTACCCCTGGATACGAGTCAAGTTCGCTAATCATATTTTGGCAGATACCACAGTACACTCTGGTAGGAGCCTCGGAGGTGTTCATGTATGTGGGTCAGCTGGAATTCTTCAATGGGCAAGCCCCAGATGGAATTAAGAGCTTCGGGAGCTCACTTTGCATGGCTTCCATCTCCCTCGGAAACTATGTCAGTAGCTTGTTGGTTAACATGGTGATGGGGATTACAGCCAGGAATAACAAGCCGGGATGGATCCCTGGGAACCTCAATTCCGGTCATATGGACAGGTTCTACTTTCTCCTTGCTGGGCTAACAGTAATTGATTTCGGGATATACTTGTATTGTGCTAAGTGGTATAAGTGCATCAAGCTTGAGGGCGATGTGGAAGCCATTGAGGTGGAAGGACAAGCAGATGATGTGCTTCGAAAAGTCTAACCAGACTTTGAGTCTTGAGTGTTACAGATGGGAAAATGACTGTTTATATATTTATAATTGGCAAGCCATTTCAACTCTCCTATCTTTGGCTTTCTTTTCTGGAATAGTCCAAAGAATGGTACAAATTAGTAGCTGACCAAGGAGTTACCTCAGTGGTGAATCATGATCACCTGGTGATGTTCATTTGTTTTGATATTGCATATAGAAAGACAGCCATTTCCCTTCTTGGTACTCAAGAAATTGATGAATACCTGTCCATATGTATTTATTAATCATAAAGAGAGAAGCATGACCTTTCAGAATAGATTTGTAAGGAATGATTGCTTCTTCTATTTTAAGGCAGAGGAGTTGATTTAGGGCCAATATAGGATTTGGCTACATCTTATGTTAATGCTTTGTAAGGTCTGAAATAGACCTATTTGGATTGTACTCTGTAACTTTGAGTGTTGAAAATTGGAACTGTGTTCTCCATTAATTCTACTCAACTAAATCCCAAGATATAGTTCTGAAATATCACAAACGGCATATTAATTTGTTTTTCGGTAAGTCATTTAACAAATTAAACGATTTACCATTTTTAATTTTTATCCATATATTTTATTATTAAAAAGGGCAATTATATATGTCTAATACTAGTTTTGACAAATTTCCACCCAAATGAAAAAATTACTAATTACCATGTATGGGTATCACTTAAAAACTTAGTTGCCCACCAGATGGGTGATACCCATAGGAAAATCCATTTTAATGAAGCCCATAGTTACCAGTAGCTAGGCAAATGTGGATAAGTTGATCAACTTTTCAAAAACACCAACATGCCCATGAAGTCTATTCCAACCATCGAAATTGAAAAGGACAGTACCGTGGTATCCCGGCAGAGTGATTGGATGGATGCACAAAAGCCTCTCTCATGTTGACTCAACCCAAGGCCCAACTGATGAACTTGAACCCAGGTATAGCGGTACATAATTCAACCCACTTGAACCCGATTAATGGTGCGCGTAGTGAAATTTTGACAAGTTTGACACGATAGTAATGAGCAAATCAACGCGAGTTCACATGCATTTGCTATCTCATCAGTTTCCAAATGGATTGTCATAGGTTGTCGGGCCCGGGTTGGGTTGAGATGCTCATTGAGCGGGTTTAAACCCTCAAGGCCCAACTTAAACTCAAATTCCTAGCCCAATTTATGACCAAGAGAGCACACATCTAGGCTCTAATTAAGGATGATGATATTATATTGATACATCCAATCTTTTATACTTAAACTACGGTAGTGAAAAAACGGGCAAATTTATTAAACTATTCATAGGGTTTGGGAAATTGATTACACCCCTACTGTTTCAGTATCATCTTAAAGTATATCTATTATTTCTAACAATTGATTAAATCTTTCTTATCGTCGATGTCCGTTAACAAAAATATCAAAAAGACTATTTTGCCCATCACGCAGAAAACTCAGATTCCTTGTTCAAAGAAAGACAAGGAAGATGGACAGACGTTAAAATCTCATGGGTCTTTTATGAAAGATAGGGCAGAGAGCTAAGGCCCATAGAGGGTTGGTGATCAAAAGAAAACTTTTATGAAAAATCTTTCATTAATTAATACTGGCTTATAATTGCATCCCCATCTCCTCTTGTCTTGCTCTTCGCCATTAATAATGGCTGACACCGTCACCACATGCATCGCCAACACTACCCCTTGTCGTGGCCACTGGCCACATCCAGGGCATTCCACTTCCTTACCCTCTTCCTCTGCTTCACCACTACATCCGACAACAGAATCCTCCCAAATTTATCCTCAGCCGCCGACACTGCTACTGCAACCAATAATGGCCTCGTTCCTCTGTGTCTCTGGCGGTGTCTGATAATGTTGGAGACAAAGAGGGCCCTCCTCCTGCTTCCCACATTCTCCCCTCCTAATATTTTGAAGGCACGGAAACGTAGAGCCCCACCAAAAGCACATAATGAAGATGGTCTGGGCAGTGCAGTTGGAGGGACGGAGGGAGAAGAAAGATTGAATCTAGCATTGGATAATGCTGCTAACAGAGCTATAAACGGATTCAAGCAGGATTCATGGCTAGGAGGCTATGAACGGTTGAAGCTTTACTCATTACAACTAAACAAAACTTGCATTTTTAAATGCTTTTTCTTCTTTTTTCTTTCAGAGGTTAAAGAAGGTAATGTGGAGAGGAGTGAATAGGAAGTGGGCCATGATGCATTAGAAACTTAGAAAACTAGAGAGAGAAAGAAGGAGGATGATGGAAGGTTAGTCGTCCCTACTGGTTTGAGTAAAGAAGACAGTGATCTGCTGATCTTCACCAAAAGGGTATTCTGGGTATAATTCAAAATTAAATCAAACACATGAAATCATGTATAAACGGTCTGTGACGGAGACTTAACGGAAAGGGAGCTGTGTGACAATTGTCAGAAACAGTAGGAGTCCTTTAAGACAATACTAGAAGAGTAAGGGTACAGTTAGTCAATTTCCTAAACCTTAAGGGTAGTTTAAGAAAGTTGCCCTAAAAAACAGTTTACTTAATTGTACTCTTGGCTTTATTGTTTTTTTTTTTTTTTTTTGAGAGAGAATCAATTTACCTCTTTAACCTATAATGTTGGAGGTATTTGTTTCGGTGGAACAAATCAAATATTGAAAAAATGATTGACAAATAATAGAGAGAAAAAACAAGAAAAGGCACAACAGCTTGAGGAATACAAAAATGCACATATAGAACTACACCTAAGGCTATGTTTGGTTTGAATGAAAAGGTAGGGAAGGGAAGGGAAAGTCAGAGAAACCTATACAAGGTTTGTAAAAGTTTCCTTACCTTTTTCTGCATTTTCCTTCAAACCAAATATAGCCTAAAACCCCAATTTACTCGAGCTCTCACTCACAATGCTTCCTTTCTATCTTCTTGCATATATAATCCAAAGATGTATAGCCTAAAACGCCATAAACTCCATCTCCCATCACAGCCTACAATGAAATTTTGTTTTTGGGTTTTTTGTCCACAAATGCAAACCAGAAAATAAAAAAGGGCCACAACAAAGAATTCAAAGCACAAATCAAGAGTCTCCAAGAGGGAGACAAATTTTGTTTGGTTGCATTCAACAAAAGGCCATGGATAACAAATTAACAACAGAAAGAATTTAATTAAGTTGATCATAGCAGTGTGCCATCACAGTGATATCATCACCATGTGCAAGTTGGGAACACATGACCCAGCTCAACTTTTGCCTCTTTTAGTAGTTTGAACTTTGAAGTGCACCGGGATTTGCATCAAATAAGAAGGGATGGGATGGGATGATACACACAAATCCTTCCACTTTGAATTACCAATCTTCTTGTTCTTGAACAAAACATGGACGACACATAAAATTAATGGATGATGTTGAGCAACAAGGGCATCCTCTCCCCCGCATATATGGGATCTATGTTCTGATTCTACATCAGAGAATATCTCATCATCGTCAATCCATCCCTCTCTAAAAGGTTGGAACAGTGACCACTTTTGCGTACTTTTAAGCTTATGGCCTTAATCCAAGTGGGAGCTCAAAGGTGATCGCAACCCAGTTGGCGTCAAGTCCTAATCAGTGTATTCCATGCACGTCACATGTAACATCTAGGCCAACCTATTCGCAAGTCTCTAATACAAATTGGCCGGATTCGAACATTTTAATCTCTCTCTCTCAGTCTTAATCATGAGCAATACATCACTTCACTTGCGCATATGATTTCTATCCTGATACGTAGGTTATCTATGCATTATGCACCAATTTGCAATCTCTATAATTTATTCTAGGTTTATCTTTCATTAATTAATTGATGTCTTTATCCATGCACCTTGTAATTAATCATGTTCAATGCTCTTGGCATTCAAAACAAAATTGCACAATAATTCCCAGTTTCCCACTCTACTTGGTATAGACAATAAACACTATTCAAGCCAAATTATAAGAGAATATGAGGCCTATGGTTTTTTCTTTGGATTTTGGGGTGTTAATACTTGTTGTCTGGGGTCATCTAGTTGTGTTAAATGCTGATCCCGGAACTCAAAGAGAGTGGTCTTAAGTTTTGCCACTTAAATCTATATTTCTCACATTTCGATATAGGCATCACTATTATTTTGGCATTTTGATTCATTTTTACTCGGATTGAGTTTGGAAAGAGTGCAAATGCAAATATGTACTGTGCAAATACATACAAAATAATGCAAAATATAAAGTTTTACACTCTACATATTTGCATTTATACCCCTTTCAAACTGAGCCTCTGAAAAAAAAAAAAGCTAAATGATCTCATCAGCATTAGGGATATTCTTGTAAGGCATAACGTGGGCCATGAATAATTTAGCATATTGCAACCAAGATGCTTGTGGGTTTTTCAATCCTAGGATTAAGGGGGTGTTTTTTTTCTGGATTTTGAGAGAGGGAAAGTTGGTCAACAGGATTTTGATCTGTTGACCAAGAATTCCATGTTCTTTTTTCACATTTTTGTAGGGACCAGGGAAAGTTTATTTTCCCTCCTAGGTGATACCCATCTCCTAGGTGGGTAAATAACTTTCCCACCTAGGGAAAAGTTGCCAACACTTGAATAGGACAAAAATGTCCATTTTAATAATAGATTTTTATGTTTAAAATGGTCATTGCCTAATTTACATGGGAAATAAAAGAACATGGGTAAATGTACTTACCCAAATAAATCTTTAATAGGAAACACTTACCCGGATAAATACCTCACCAAAAAGCAAAAAGAGCCTGAGTAATCTTGTTATCTTAATTTTTTTTTTAATCTTTTAATGGGTTGGGAGTGCTTTAGGGTGAGAATTCTGTATTTTGGGTTTAGGGTAAGGCCCTAATTTATTTTCTTCATAAAATTTGAAGATGAACACCCCTCCACGTAGATTAAAGTTTGGGATTAAAAATAAAAAGATTGCAACCACCTTGATATATTTTATATTCATTGAATCTGCTCAGATTCTTGGAAAATGGTGGCAACAATGGCGGAGAATGATATATTTCTGTGGACCAAAAGGACCCAAGAACGTAAATCGAAGTAGAATACATACTTTTTTAGCTTGGCACTAGTTATCATCAATGTTAGTCCCAGCCCAAGTCTGAAGTTGGTTGACTTCTGATCAATTAAATCGGGAATAATGAAAAGACTTCAGCGTAGCTCCTTCCAATTAGTACTATTTGATTTGCCAACAGTAGCACTTGTAATACTGACGTCTGACGACCAAATATATATCTTCCGGTTGCTGTAGAGGATTAAAGTAAGACCCGACCTTGCCAAGTGCCCAAGTCTTCTTGGTTGGGTAAGCCGTAGGCTGGTGTTTCCTTGTTTTCTTTAGTCTTATCGGTTTTGTTTGTTTGTTTGTTTTTTTTTTCTGGA